ATACTCACTCAGTTTTATTATACAAGACGATTTTTGACTATAAGACCATAATTCTATTTATCGAATATTTCAGATACAGTTGACTCAAATAGAAATTAACTATGTGAACGAAAATCAATAAAGTTAGTATAAATCAATGCACAATCTACAAATATAGAGAATGTATTTTATCGAAAAATATGTTTGTAGGTAGTTTTCGTCATTGATTCGTATCAGTAATATTGTGGTGAACAGGACACGGGTGGGAACAATCGAATGTATTTAACACAAAATTACAGGACTTGTTAATAAAATCTAACAGTCATAGAGTAAATGCTTAATTTGCAAAATGTCCATCAATTGTCTCAAAATGACTCAGACTTTATTGTTCTTGCATTTTTATACGAACTGCATCCTATTTCCATTCTTTACTGTTCGATTCTCTTGTCTCCCTGCTGCCAGACCTCCTATTCACGATTAGCATCATATACTACTTGTATCAATATACGTAGCACACACCACAACATCACTATTAAAAACTTAACATTACTAGAAAGCTGTTTTTCTCAAGTTTAGACAGTGTGCATCTGCTACTTTTAATGTACCGAACTCTGAATATTTAAATCTGTTTGCTAGTGAATAACCGCTTTAGTTAGAATTCAGTAGTCTGCATATATACACCTTGAAATAACTTATTATACCATCTCTGACAACTTTTTTCAACTATCACTACTTCTCAATAGAACTTCTAAAACTCATCAACAAACAAATCGATACAAAAACGGAAAATGACTTTTCTTAAATCATATGTTATGAAACTACTTAATTGGAATATATGATAATTCATCCCAGTAAAATAACAAAAGTAACTTTCTTAATGTTGCCTTTGAGAAAACAATGTAGTCATAGTTGTTTTAACAACTACTGAATAACGAAAACGTTGGACAACAATTTTTTAAAGTCTAATTCAGTCTTTCCCTTATTGCTTTTACATTTCTCAATCATTAAAGAGATTAAAACTTACCATAATGACACAAAGGATTTACGGATGATCTTAAGAATGATTGACTTGTATTTCAATATGAGTTTAATTACAAATGGTCAATGGTCAAATTCTAATTTTGTAGCATATTAGTTATATGTCCGTAATAAAACACTACTTTTTTGAATTCTGACCAAAAAATTGATCAGTGATGGTACTCGTTGAAGTCAGTGAAATAAAAATGAAACTACGATTCATTATAAATGAAAAATATTTACGAAGTTTTTATTAGTTTCTTCTTATTTAAGAAGTAATAACAGCTTACTAAATTAAATGATACTCTTAATGTGGCAATACAGAACTTCGGAAATATACTAAAAGGTCAAATAAAAGTTCGTGATATACTTATTTTAATTCAACATACTATTCTTATAAAAAAAAACAAATACTTATATAAATAAAGACCAGTTGAATGAGAAAATGCAAATTATTGAATAGTTATGGTTTTAAGTGAGAAGCAGTGACCGGCGGAATTCAATTGAGTCTGATGTGAGATAGTACCTCACTGATGACAATGGTGGATGGCGGGTCGACTTCGTGGGTTGATTGAAGTTAGACATTAACACCGTCGGATGCTGGTTCAGTAGTCTAGAGGTTAAGCGTTCGCGCGCGAGACTGATAGGTCATGGGTTCGAATCTCGTGAGGCGGAATCGTTGGTGCGAACTGCTTAGGAGTCCCACAATAGAACGAAATGGCCGTTCGTTGTTTCCAGGTTTTCCATGGTGGCATAGCTTCAATTAACTTATGAAATCAACGATAAAATTACTAAAATCTCCACAAAATAAATTAAAAGTTATAAATCATATTAAAAATAATATTTATTCCAGCTTAAATTGAAAATAATTCAACAAGAAAACCATAAAATGTTTCTTTTTCTGATGATAGAAAAGTGACAATGAAATTAATGATTGTTTTTGTAGCAGACTGACATTAATTAAACGTTGAATAATAAGAAAATGTAATTGACTTATGGACTCATGACTGTAGTCTATTCTCGCTTGATTAAAATCTTTTGTTCATATTTAGTCGGATTCTTTTTTCATTCACTTGTATAGAGGATATTTTGCTTCTCTAATATTAAGTAATAAGTTAAAATTTAACGAAAGATTTTCGTTTGAGTATAAACAGTGACTGGCGATCGAATCGCAAGTCATATGGTTAATTTGTTTCTTTGTTTTGTGTATAAACAAAAAAATTCTCGAGAAAAATCGAAGTCTTCGAATTTCAACACATATGACTGACAACGTTCGTTGTCAAACTTGGCTATACTAAGTTGTTATTGACCGTTAAGGTGTCTTTGTCAGAAAATCTATTTTGATTTTCTTTCTTCTTGACCTGATTGGTGATCCCACATTTGTCCATGATTTTTCTTATTGATCGATAAATTGGATAGATTTCTGAGTTTCGATGGTTGCTGACTGACCCATTTCCCGGACTTAGAAGATTTTTCTGGTCGTCTTTGTATCACCTTTATCCAAGATTTAAATATTTTCTTAGTCGAACGTGTGTCCACGTGTATTTCTATAAGCTTAGGTACATCATGGTGTTTTATAGCCAGTTGGTTTTCACAATGATGAAAATGACGAGAGTCTTCAAGTTGTCCAGTGTAGTGTTTTTCGCAGTTGGAAAAGTTTATTTTGTTGATAATGTTTGACTTTACTTCTTTCGTAATTTTACTCTTCATTTCTCATAAGATTGACTGAAGTAATTTTGCTATCTGAGGCTAACACTCACACAGCATCATCAGAAAATGTAGATTAAAATTATCAACAAAAACGTAATCAAATGTGGAAACCAACAAACGGATTATCCTTCTATATATATACCAAAAATTACAACAAGAATACTGAGACCATATCTAATTTGTGTAGCACATAAATTAGCTTAGTTACTAAGCTTAATAATAATTTTATAACCTGCTAAGTTTCACTCTTTACTTTAAAAACGTTTTGACCTGTTATTTGAATAATCTGTATGTAATAAGTCATCAATTCCAGTCAGAGATAATAGAGCAACGATAACGGCAAAAAAAGCACTTATTTAGTATACAAACTGTTTGAGACATAGATCTCTAATGGTCAGTGTTACTGTAAGCACATTGTAAAACGTCATAAATATTTGGTTCTCTTCATAATCTTTTTGTCGGTCTAATAAACGGTTCTCATTGATGTAAAAACTTGGAGATCTGTTATCGAATTACCTAGAAATAAGTTTTTGTTAACGTTCTCTCTGGCAAGACAGCGGATTTGTTGAACTGTTAAATATTGTGTCAAGTCATATCATATGTTATTTACAAAACTGATTTCACCCAATTTAGGCTTGATTCAGGATATTCGAAGCTTCATACTGTAAATTTCAATGTGATTTTATGGTTTATTATACAAAGAACTTGTGTTTTATTTATTTGTACTAACACGTGGTCGAAGAAGCTTAGTTTATTAATTACCGACCTACTCCATATACGTTATAAATAAGAGAGCAGTTCGCTTCACGGTAATTCAAATCTGACAATATCTTTTAAATGCGTTTAGCTTTTGACGAGACCAACGAATGCGCTGTGATGCAGTTAGAGAGAAAAACTTAATGATTAAAACTTAGTTGTTCTATAGAATAGCTAATTCGCAGCATATTAGATGGTAAATCTGTTTTATACACAAGTTTATTTTTATGTACTTTACTATGTGTTATAGTAAGTTTCCGAACACGTTCACCGATTATTTAAAAAAATGTCATTTGTATTTGGATTTCATAACATTTTGACCAGTCACTTTACAGAGGTATTACTCGCTGTGGTAATCCTCCTTGAATAATAGTGATTAAACGTTAGATACATTAAATAACACTTACTAAGGCCAATAGCTTCTGCATATTCACAATTTCTATTGATTTCAATACTAGACTTCATATTACCGTTCTTCACATCTATGTAATGCTTTTGTAAGCGTAGTACCTTTTTTTAACTTTTCATACCTTATTTCTTTCCTACTTACTAAAATTTGATCGAGATAAGATTCAAGATATGTACTTTGTTACAAATAAAAGTATGATCAGCTGTTATTGCAATTTTATATAGTCTAACCATGCCGAAAATAACAATAAACTACAGCCGATGCTCAATAGTATATGATTTGGAGTTGCTTAACCTGTATGTTTAACCTTTTAGGACTATACATGACATAATCTACAGACAAGGCATATTTCTTATTAACTTCTATTAACAAATCTTTTTCAGGAATATTAGATACGCCAAATAAAAATGAAAGTAAATTAATTTGATACTGGATTCGAATTCATTCTTCTAATATTATTGTGTTGCCAACTTGAAAAAAAGAAGAAAAAAGGTAGAGGATTATTGAATTTTCACATTGTACACTAATGAACATAAAATTGTTGTCATTAGTCCATGTACTTGGATTTATAAAATCATCAATTTTTGAACAAAAACTAGGTGAAGTGATTTGTTAAGATCCATAACTTCAAATAAATCGTGACTTTTAGATAGAGAAAATAAAAAAATCTCCCTTTTATTTTTAGTCACGTTCAAATATGTATATCACTATGTTTGATTAAATGATGTATAATAAAACACGCTCAGTATTATTAACGATTATATTATTAGTTTGAAGTGATCCTTGAAACAGTAAACAAAATGTTTGTATATTTTCTTTTATCCGAAGATTTAAATGAAGTGATCTGAGAGATTCATAATGATGAAATTCTTTAATAGGTAAACAGTAAACTTGATTTCTTGTAAACCAAGAAATTTTACTGATTTCTCTTAGGAACCTAATATTTATTTCAAATACTTATTAACGATGAATAGTTTCGATATCAATCGATAAATTTCATCCATTACTGGTTACTGGAATGGAACTCAATAATCATTTACTTTTCACTTACTGGTTTCGTATGCTTACCTTATGATGTTGTTACTTTCAGACCTAATAAAGATGAAAATAAAAAAGTACAAGTCTCATATATATGGTGTTCAGTAGTATTTTTTTTATTAGGAAAGTATAAGTCACAATTAGTTCAGAAAGTGAAATATTGACACAGATTTCGTCTTGTCTTCTTAATAAAACTCTTTTCTTCTTTTAATAGAAAAAAGAAACAAAAACGCATTAATTCTATTGTCTTTCTTTTAAGAGATCATATATAGAGTAGGTTTTATGCCGTGTTAATGCTGGAATACCACCGTAACTCATAGCATCATCAGCTCCTCGTTTTCCAAATCTAATATAACGTTTGTTTGGAATTATCTCCCGATTGATGTAGTCACTGTATTCATAAAGTGGATCATAGAACTGTTTATGAGGATCTGAAAGGTAATTAAAAACAGTAATGAAAATCAAACTTTGCTAAACAGTGTTATATTTACAGTATTAATAAACATAATATTAAATTTTTATGTGAGAAAAATGATAAGATATTTACAGGAATCAATGAAGGCTAAATGTATATATATATATATATATATATTTTGTTATATCCAAATGAGTAGAAAAATTGTATTTCTGACGTTTCATGACTTAATGTAAGCCACGTCTTCAGAGTAAACAAATAGCCGACATTACATGAACACAAGTTTAATCTTGTGTGAGAGATCGTGGATGCGCACTGTTGAGGAGTCCCATAATAGGACGAAACGGCCGTCTACTGTTTCCAGGCTTTTAGTGGTTGTCTAATATCAACCGATTCATGATCTCAATCAAAAAACTTAACAATATTCACAACCTCATAGTGATAATATATTTATTATTTACTCTCTATACAGATTCTCGATTTATTTTAAACTATCATGTCCAACCTTGGTATTAATATGTATATTCATGTTTAGGTGCGAAATCAGATATGTGCGGTTATTTTGAATAAATATAATTGGCATAATAATTACAACCAGTTAATGATAATCTGATTGGTAGTCTCATAAGAAATGTATTTCAGATAAAAGCTAATAGTGGAGCATAAAAGTCAGAATATTTCATAGTTATGCGACCAATATTTCATGATTGTAAAAATTGTAAGTGGTATGGTTTTCTAAAAGTCATAAAATATACTAAAATGTCATTGTAGTAAAAATAAACAAGCCTTCATTACCATAACATTCCTTGTGTGACAGTACACAAAGATCACCATTGTGGATCAAATTTGATTTAGGCTCAACAGTTGCAGACTAAAGTTAAAAGTCAATAAATTATAGTTTTCTATTTATTAAAGTAACTATTGAGCCTCTCATCAATGTAAATCAACTACAGAATGTACGTCTCTAAATCAGATCAAAACTCTTAGACTAACGTTTTCAAAAAATACTCAAAAGTAAAACATTTACTGGTAAATCAGACATTATCAAGTTGACTATTTAGGAAATAATATAAAAATTCATTTGTAAATTACTTGGATATAATTAGTTTTTATAAATGTTGCAATCAATAATATATAACATCCATAACATAAGTAGATGATGTATCAACATTTCATATATGGGAACTAAACACTGTACACATGTCTATACACTTGTTATATATATCTTATACAAATAAAAACAATTAAACTAACAAGGTTATTTATATTTTATTGTTGTATAGATTGTTAATAAGAATCTGCTATATAAAACAGTGAAGTTTAGAGAGAAATACTCATTTTATTGACTTTTTTGTTCATTTTTATTTCATTCCTTTGACCCTATACATTAAGGTGAATTATATAATGAAGAAAAGGAATCCGTAATTACTATCACATTTCTGTTTACAGTCCTACTAATTATTTATTTTAGCTAAGATAAAATTGAATATTGTTAACGATTATTGTTATTATTGATATTACTAACAATGTATAATCATTATCATTAAAAGGAAGATTTACATAATTAGATATGAATTTCATAAGAAGCTTGTGCCTTAAAGCTATATCAAGGCAATCCGCACAGGATGCACGTATGCCAACAAGAGAGTGATCAATTGTAGTTCTAAATAACAATGAGAAGATGCAAGTAAACAACACCAAGTGAATTTAGACTCCACCTCATTGCGAAAGCGAGTGGCTCAGTAGCTAAATTGATAACGCGATGGTGCTTTAAGCGAAGGTACTAGGTTCGAGTCCTAGAAAGAACAACAACTCTGGGATGCAGGCGCATCCAGCGAACGAGTCCCAAATAGGACAAAACGCGCTTCTCAATTCCACTGCTAGGCACTATGCATCTTTGCTTCATAAGATAGTTGTTTGAAAATTAGCTTGATAACTGAATAATGAAAGTGATTGTTTTGGTGAATTCAATTTTTTTCTTTGATAGAGTGATATCTTTTACTTCTCCAGGGAAATTAGATCATTTTAATAGTGAACTTTTCTATTGATTACGTTCAATTATAGAATATAAGAAATACACTTTGCATAATTTGATCTCACATGTATATAAAAACAAAAAAATTCGTAAATTATTTTTATATATGAACCAATTGAATGTTTCATCAGAACACTTAATTGATAAGAGACAAAATGATATGAAAAGTTTAGTCGTATTTTTAATTCATGTCATTCGATGTATGTGTACCATATTATAAGTTTGACATTTGGTCGGTACTTGAAAAACCATAGAAGTAATTAATAATAAACTCTTAACCTAGGAAAAAAAGATTATAATTGACATAGGATTATTTACAATCCACACAACAAATTGATTAATTAATACATATGAAGTTTCATTGGAATCAAATACATTCAATTTAACATCTTCAGTATTAACAATTCAAAATAAATTTAATCAAAATAGCATGTTTTTCTTCTTTCTTTCTTTCTTCAATATTATATATTTAGCTTAGTTGACATGAAGTTGAGATGTTAGAGAAGATTTGTAGCTCAAGTGGATGATTTTGATGGAGTTTTAAGCTTTTATACATATGAAGAAATAACGGAATTTCTTATTTGTATCCATAGAATTTTTTGTCTATAGTAAATATTTGAAAGAAATAATTACTGAATCATGTGAAAAATATATCTTACGGTTCGTTTAAGTTATTCGATTTACAAACTATAGAATGAAGGAATCTGGTTCATAATGTAATTATTAGACTGCAGTTTCAATAGATGTATCTTTATCTTACAACTAATATTGAATTAGAAAATACTTTTGTTTTGTTAATGAAGTTTATTCTAGAAAAAAAACTTCCATTATAGACAACTATCTACTCTTCTTTACTATGAATAGAATTACCATGTATTAGAAATAATGTTCTATATATTTGTATCAAAAACCTTTATTCTTAAAATCTTAAGACTAGTAACTATACATTTCATGTATATATCCCTATACAATAAAATGAATCAGACTTCATTTGAAGTGAGGAAAAAACGCATCATTTTACTGCTAATTACATTAGCCAAAATGTTGTAGATCTTTTAAATAAATTTAATGAATAATGTATCTATATTTTCATTAGTTTTATCTTCTTTTACTGTATAAACGATATATTTGTTAAACTATATAGATTTCATTTTATAAAAGGTATGTGTTCAGTTTTTTTGAATGGAATAATGAGGAATAACACATTATTTTACTCCCTATGTCATCACTACGGAAGGTATAAGTGAATTTATGCTTACTGAAAAGTGATAGAGTATTGTGATATCAGTTTCCTTTAATTTATACGGAAAATTTACATTAATGTGTAACTAATGTAAAATATTGATAAGAATTGAACTCAGTCAAATAGGTAGATTATTGAAGAAAATACAGTGATTTTGGATTAAGGTAGTACACCATCATTTAAATCGAAAATATTCTGATTATATCAATTTTGGGTGAAAAAAAGTTATTGCTCATCATTTTTTGATTAGTGTTATTATGAATGCTGAAAAAAATCCTAAATTTTTCGTCATTTCATTAAACTTTAAAGCCAGTGTAACTATTAAATACCTACAGCGATATCCAGACCAAGATAAAGGAAATTCTGTTGTTTAAAATACCGATATAGCAAAATGATAATTAGTCAATACAACTCTAAAGTTAAATCTTTCATAATGTTACAAACGCAAATTAAGTTAAAAACCTTCATTTATGACACTCATACCAGGAAATCAGCTGGGCGAAAAGTTGGAGGATAATCCAGAAATTAAGGATCAGGTTGATGAACAGCCAAATCAAACAAACCAAGACAAATTATGCAACAAGAGTAACAGCTCCATAGATTTAGAACGTTAAGACTTCAACCATCATAAATTATAGTCATGATGTTTCAGTCATTCACGAGAAAGAAAAAGTTCCTGATCATATGAAGTTAAATACAACAGAAGGTTAATGACGATGACTTATGAAACAATTGAGACCAATCAGTCACAAGAGGGAAAGAGGTAAGTGACAAAGAAGTTAAAAAAACATTAACTGCGAAATGCAGTATATATATATACGGATTAGAAAGCATGGCAAATCCAGTAGCATTGTAATATGTGAAACTGACGTCGACATATATAAGTAGTATGGATGAACAATCGAAATTGGAATGCCTGGCTGAGGAAAGTTGAGAAAATCTAAGAGAAGAGAACGAAAACAGAGAGTGATTGATGTGGAAACGAAGGAACATTAAAGTCTAATACAATTGATGGATATTTTGTAAATCAAGTGTTTATTGTATGGTTCTCAAATTTCAGCAAGATGTTCTGTCATGTTTTATTAACATGAATTTCGTTGTCTCCACTAGTGTTCTCGTGTTCACTACAGTGCTATTTATGTGCATCAAATTATAATCAAATAGTTGCTTGAATATTCATTGAATAAAAATTTAGAATAATGTAAAAAAAAATAAAGAAAACTTTGTATAAAATAGGGACTGTAACGGATGTGCTACATATCGAAATAACCTATTGATTATTTATTATCACATTCATGAATCATGAAATCAATGCATTTTAATTTAAGTTGTATGTTAACAAAGTCAACCATTAAAGAGGAACAATGAATTTGTAAAATCTCAGAGAATGAATTTTGAAGTCGATTCAACGTTTCGCCTAGCAATCTGGTTCAAGCTTTTTTCAATATTTTACAAATACATTCTTCCTCTTTAATGTCTCACAATAATTCGGTGCTCAAATACTGTGAAACTATTCGATCAAGTTTAGACGAAATTGAAACATTGTTTTCAAAATTCTTATTGATAGGTTATTGTGTTGTGTTCAAAATACAATTCATTCAAAAAGAACATTATTACTATTTTCAATATTTAATACAACGTAAATACATAATATACTTGTATTATACCAATGAGTAGAAAAAGTAAATTTTCTGACGTTTCGTGACTTACTAACGACCGCTTCTTCAGAGAATAAATAACCAAATTAAAATTAATCCAAGTTTAAATAGTACAACGGAACAACAAGAATATTCTACAATAAGTCGAGAAATGTCAGAAAATCTAATTTCCCCACTCATTGGTATATTACAAATATATTATTTTTATTTATAACAATCTACTCAATCCTCAATTTATTGGAAATTATCAAGACGAACCTTGATAATGATTTAATACAACAGTTTTCATTCACTGTAAATGGCCATACAAAATGTTAGTTAATTTCAGTTCTCATTAAACGTAATGATAGATTTTATTTAATCAAAGTATTTGCCCTATTTTGTAATCGAGAATCCTAGAACTTACCTAAAATTGATCACATGAGCTATATGTGTGTTATGCCCCGATAAGAATAATGAGAGATAATTTTTGGGATCCATTTGTGAACCAATACTATACGTATATTTTACCGTATGATTGTTAATTAACTAAATTGTTCTTATCGATTAAATGCTTAAAAAAACCTCCATGGCAATATCGATTATATATATATATATATATATATATATATATATATATATATATATATATATATATATATATATATATATACGTTATGAATTGTGTTTGTGGGTCGCTCGTTTCTGGTTGTTTGCAGAATATACTTTCCTATTCCAAGCTTGGATTCCTCTCTGTAGTTAGCGGGGTTGGGACGCATCAAATAGCTAGCTTACTGGTCTTTGGTCACTGGGTCTTTGTTCTCGTTCATAGATTAGGTGAAATCGTGATAGCTTCAAACGTAGCAATGTGAACTACCGTAATTAACAATATGTGAAAAAAATTAATATTCAACTTTATCAAAATACATGCAAAAATCAATTTTAATGATATAAATAAATGAATAACTTGCTTTGTTCTTCAGATAAACTATATACGTTAACCAATGATAAGATCAAAATAGTTAACACCATTATAATGAATAATTCAGATAATTGTGTTTTCATTTTTATTTGCGTACTTTGTCTAGAAAAGAAAATATTGACGAAAAAAAAAGAATAAATACACAGAATAGTGAAATGTTATTTCATTCACAAAAAAAAACTTGTTATGAATTAGTCTCTATGGAATTTATTCTATATTATATAAACCATTTTAATGATCATAAGTTAACCAAAGAAAAAAATGTATTCATATATTAAATGCTTGTAAAACGTTTGTGAAATGTTAGATCTTTATTTACAGAATGAAAAATAAAATAAATTTACTCTTAAACATGTATCTAATACAAACATTTTAATTTATCATCATAATCTTTCAATGATTGTTCTGTTTTATAAGTTCTTTTGTAATAAGTAAGCATTTTATATTGTTTACTTTTTAATGAAGGTACCGTAAAACACTTCAGTACATAATACTTATTAAAATTGAAAAGAATAATATTTACAATTGAATTCAAACTTTCTTTAAAACGTTGCATCATAGTGATTGTTGTCTATTAGAAGTTTTGAGGAAAATCAGCATTATGTGAACTGAATTATTTACTAAATTGTCTTTTGAATAATTAACCAATAAACATTTTCACCTTATTTTATTTTATTCTTATCATTCTTTTAATTAAACCATGAAATATATGCATCATAAAAGAATTTGATTGAGATCTTGAACCGATTGATGTTAGACCGTCATTGAAAATTTGGAAGCACTGGACGGCCGTTTCATCCAATTGTGGGACTCCTCAGCAGCGTGCGTCCATTGGATTGATTGAGGTTAGACATTAAAAACATTAGATGCTGGCTCAGTGATCAAGCAGGTTAAGCATTAGTGCGCAAGTCTGAAGGCCCTGGGTTCGAATTCCGCGAGCGGGACTGTAGATGCTCACTGATGAGGAGTCTCACAATAGAACTAAACGGCCGTCCAGTGCTTCTAGGTTTTCAATGACGGTCTAACATCAATCGGTTAAAGATCTCAATCACTAATTTGTCAGTCTCCAAAACCTCATGCTGATAAAAGAATTTGTTTGATCATCATCTCTTTTATTAAGATTGTTCTTTATCCTTAATCAACATTTAATTCATTATTACTATTGACTTCATACAAAGTCGCATTGTTTAAAAACAAAATTTTCTATAGAAGTGTTTAATGATTAAGGAACATTGTCAAAGAAATATTCATGAATCAATTTATTTATTAGAAAAAGAAAGAAATATAAGCTTTTGAATAGTTTTATGGTTTTTCATGGATTTTAATCTGCCAATCTTGGGGTGTGTGCTATTTATATCGACGTAGGTAGTATAGAGTGTCTGGCAGCAGAAGGTCAAGGAAAGAACGGGAATAGAAAGCACTTGGTATAAGAATGTAAGAACAAAAAAGTATGAGACAATTGATTGACAATTTTCAAATGAAGTATTTTCTGTATGATTCTCAGATTTTACTAAGATGTTCCATAATTTTGTGTTCCAATACATTCGATTGTCCTCACTTGTGTTGTCATTCACTACAATCCTATGGCCATATTTACTTTGTAAATGGTAATTATTTTTAATATTTTACAAACTTGCAAAAATGTGGTACGTGTTCAAATTAAAATTAGATTATGAATTACATTTCATCATAAAACATAAATGTTTATCTACATGGGTAAATTCCTTGATTCATTTATTATTGTTATACAGCTAAGTATTCACTTCCATTTATTCATTGTTGAGAATGTGCTCTAAAATGATGAACCATGTTTTAAATTATAAATAAAGAAATTTATTTAAAATAATAGTAGGATGTATGTACTGCATGAATTAACTTACATATTGAGTTTTATATGATTACCTTTAGATGGGTTTTCATATAAAATTATCAAGTATTCTTTAGAGTTTTAACAAATCTAAACAAAAATCCAAGCTAAAAGGGTTTGAGTACTTCACTGTCTCGTACAAATAGAGTTCGGTAAGTATTGAACTGTCACTAAAGACAGAACAGTAGATTGAGGAAAATTATAATAATTTTATTTATGGTCGTTGGTAGAATTCAGTCTATATGTTTATAAAGTGTTAAATAATACCATATGGTTATAATGATCAGAAATATATTGTAATAGAACAAATTTTAAAAAGTCTAAACCGTACAAGTATTTACGAAGTTTGAAATGTTTGTGTATTTTAAAAAATGACCTCAGCTAGCTAGAAAATATACTTATAGTAAATAAAAATATCAGAATAGGATTGTGGAGATCATTGAGTTTCAATTGCCGTCATGAACCGATCAATGTTAGACCACAACATCATGGATTAATTGAAGTTGGATTCCAGATCATTTGTTAAGAGGTTAGACATTTGAAATCAACCGAAGGTTTTGAGTTCAAGTCTCGTGTATGTACTTGTGAATGTGCGCTAATGAAAAGTCCCGTATTAAAATGAAATGGCCATATAGTGCTTACAGGTTTTCAATGGTGGTCTAACATTGATCTGTTCATGATCTCGATAGATTAGAATATTAAAAATAAAGACAAAAAACAGATTACATGTTTTGTAATATAACAACGTTATCATGACACAATAAAGTATAAAAAATGAAAGAAATACGTCAAAGAAATAATAATTTAATACTGATTATACAAATCCGTTGAATCAAATCCTTCCTTAAAACAATTTACTCACTGAATACCGATTGCGCACACTTCTGAATAACGGTTTTTATAGATAAACATAATAATACATTTTATAACTAATCATAATAGTTACAGAAAACTGTTTTGTGAAAATGAATAGTTAATGTACTTTTCTATTTATTTTCACTTCTAGTTATCGACCCTATACGACCCAGTAAATAAATAATAAACATAGAAATTCATGATTGATTTCATGTTTTTTTTTGTTTTTATTTACAAACCAACTGATTATCATAATTCTTCGAATTGTTATTTTGACTGTCTATGGAAAATACACATGAATTGTAAACATTAGATAAATAAACAATAATTATGCTCGGATGACTTCACCTTTCAATAAGAAAACTATCACGAGAACAATAGTGATATTATATTGTTTTCATTTTGTATCAAGTCACTATTTTATATTTATTTAGCAATGGGTTTTTTCAATTAATCTATTGAGTAGACTGAAATGGAGAGGAGTAAAGTTTTCCAACGATTCATGAAATAATAACAAATTGATATCCTCGCAGAATTGTTTATTACATAATCTTTGTTTTAACTTATGAGAACTACAGTCAATTCACTAAAAGGTGAATTAAAAATATCTTTGTAATTTTATTAATTCTTTCTTGAATAAATAAAAATGAAAGAATGACTATAAGAATTTTGACAAGTTTTCTTATCTTCTTATATTTTTTTTTACCTTAAGTTGATAAATGGAAAATTTCCTTATCCATTGAAATTTAAGTATACAGTGAAATAAATTTCATTCATCAAAATGTGAAATCGAAATAATAATGAATATCTTTCTCTCTTTTTTTTTCGTAAATATTAGATAATGTAATAAAACAGTACGTTATATTTTAAAGTAGTATTTGTAACCAAGTGGTGGTTTTATGTGGAAAATAAACAGTATTTTCACAAGTAAAGACAGATAGAGGCTAGTAGTGGAATTCAGGAAGCGCGTTTCGTCTTATTTGAGACTCGTCCACTGGATGTACTGTATCGCAGAGTTGATGTTCAATCTAGGACTCGAACCTAGTACTGGTCGTTTCAAACGTCACTGCGTTATCTACTTGGCTACTGAGTCATGATCGCCACTTGCTTATTCAATGGTGTGGAGTTTACTTGGTGTTATTTATTTGTATCTTCCCGTTGCTATTTAGAAATTAAATTTATAAATCTATTGTTGGCATGTGTGCATCTTGTTCAGTCCGTTCTTTATAATTTACGAAGAAAAACTACAAATTATATTAATTTAGCGTTATTTATGAAAGAAAAATTCATTTCACTCTTATTCAGTCTTGGACAACAATAAAAACAATTGATTAAATTGGCTGGAGAATGAATATTTTGTGCTTATTAAAGTCTTTTTCGACGATGCAGTACACATGAATCAATATAGATGACAACATGTTTATAAACAAGACTGATATTATAACTTAGCTTATTATTATTATTTTACTTTAAAATGTTTAACGCCTACAGAAAGTATTTTAAACTCTCTTTATTTACTTATATATATGGCAAACCTATGGAAAGGGAATAATTGTTGAGCTTTCTTCCCATGTATCAAGATTTAAAATGAATTAAATAGTTTGTTACTTAATAAACACAATATAATCTGTTAAAAAAGTAGATTCATAAAAACAGAGTAAATAGATTTGAAAAGAAATGAATAAAAGTATCCGAGAATTCAAAATACGCATTTAGTAAAGATTTGCAAATAAAATTGATACATTTAGATAATAAGGAAGTCTGATGAATAGTTGTTTAATCCTAGTCACCTTGGACTGTTGTGAGATAGTAACTCACTGAAGACAGTGGTGGATGAGTCGGTCACTTTGGCGATTAGTTAAAGTTGGACATTAACACCGTTGAATGCCAGCTCCGTGGTCTAATGGTTAAGCGTTCTCGCGCGAGACTGATAAGTCCTGGGTTCAAATCTCGAGAGATGGGATCGTGAATGCACGGTACTGAGGAGTCTCCCACTGGAACGAAACGGTCGCCTAGTTCTTTCAGGGTTCCCATGGTGGTCTAGCTTCAAATGACTCATGATCTCAAGTATTGATATGACCCTATATATGTTAGATAAACACATTTGTTTTATACAAGAAATCTTTGTAATTTCGCTCGGATGAATTAGCTCCATACTTTATTTTTATGTTTTCATTTATTAATGAGTAATTTAATTAGTATTTTTATAATAAAAATGTTTCTTTCATAAACGTTTCAGAAGTAAATAAAGTAAACATTACACGAAGCATTTAGATGAAACAAATTTATGCATAAATCACAATTCTAGTTTTCAATAGAATAATTATGTATTTTCTAGTAAAAGAGAATTTATCGAGAGGATTTCCACAAACTGAGTTAT